TCGACCTTTTTGAAAACAGTGCACAATTCTCACCCGCGAACGAAATTTCAACCAATCAGAGCGGGGCGTCTCTGTGACGTCATATGAGGAATAGATATGAGGGCCGATGCCGAATTCATGTACATTTCAGGGGGTAAATTATCTTGTTTACAGGTTTGTATAAACCTGAAATCGTGACAACTGTTGTGAAAAATGAAAGCTATATGTTCTCACAATCTACTGTCATTTAATTTTGTCTCTTGCTTTGCCTAGTTTCCGAGTTACAACTTGTTTTCATAGACGATTCTGTCAAAATCGCTTGGTGTTGCTCGGCCTTATTTGTTCGAGCCATAATAAATGTACATATATGCGCAGTATGACCTTAAAGCTGCAATGAAAACACGAAGTTTGCCATGGCTAACCAAATCCTTTTCCGACTACAGGAAGCTGAATACGCTGACCCAAGTTCCGCACCAAATGTCACTGCACACATTCTGCAGAAGTTATCAGGTAAAAAGACAGCACTAAATATTGAAAAATATGGTCAACTTTAATTACTGGATGGATAACAGGGCCTTGTAGACCTAGATAACACCCTAACAGGGCCTCATACTTGATAACACCCTGCTGGTAGGGCCTTGGCCTTCTCGGCAGGAAGTTATAAGGTATAAAGCCCTGATAGGAGGGTGCTATCTCTCGCTGAGATGTTCCTCGGGGAAAACAACTCGATTGAAAGAGTGTTACATGGGCATTGATTAGCACTGATTAGCTCTAGCGCTCAGCCCAGAGAGTTGTAAATATAATTGTGATTAGCTTCTAGTGACTGCGGACTCTTTGCGGAGTTAATTCCCCACAACCAGACCAGCACGCCAGTTAGAAAGAGGTTTCACCAGGAACATCATTGGGACCCTACAAGATAATATCACGCACCTGTCCTATTTACATTAAAAAAAAATATTTTTTTTCTTTAAAAACAGAGGTGGGTTATACTGAACAGTGAACTGCATAACGAACTCGGAGTTCATTGACATGATATCAACTCACTTAGTAATATAAACATGATTATCAACTCACTGCTTACTGATTGACATTGATTGATATCAATTCACCTCTTATTGATTGACATTGATTGATATCAATTCACCGCTTATTGATTGACATTGATTGCTATCAGTTCACCGCTAAGGGGCGATGGGGTAGCCTAGTGGTTAAAGCGTTGGCTCGTCACGCCGAAGACCCGGTTCGAATCCCCACATGGGTATAATGTGTGAAGCCCCTTTTCTGGTGTCCCCCGCCGTGATGTTGCTGGAATATTGCTAAAAGCGGCGAAAAACCAAACTCAGTCAGTCAGTCAGTCACCGCTTACTGATTGATATCAATTCACCGCTTATTGATTGACATTGATATCAGTTCACCGCTTACTGATTGATATCAATTCACCTCTTATTGATTGACATTGATATCAGTTCACCGCTTACTGATTGATATCAATTCACCTCTTATTGATTAACATTGATTGACATCAATTCACCTCTTATTGATTGACATTGATTGACATCAATTCTCCTCTTATTGATTGACATTGATTGACATAAGTTCACCTCTTAGTGATTGACATTGATTGACATCAACTCACCTCTTATTGATTGACATTGATTGACATCAATTCACCTCTTATTGATTGACATTGATTGATCTCAATTCACCTCTTATTGATTGATATTGATTGATTTCAACTCACTGCGTAATTATTGATATATACTCAGAAATTATTATGGGTATATATTATGCTTATTTCTCATCGAATGCATCACTTTCAAAATGGCAAATCAGCAATTTGAGTATAAGTTCATTCCAACTCCACGCGAATCTCTGTATAGATATATACATGTTTAACTTAGAGTGAGACACAAACCCAGTGCTGCATCGTGGATGTGGTAGATGTGCCTAGATAAGAACTGCACATCACCAATCATCCTGCCCCACATAACCACGGACCGGTCAATAATGACATAAAGTTAAGTGGGAAAGGAATTGCCATTTTTATTCATTTTATATCAAATTATATAACAGGATATAAGGGTATTGATAAAGAGCAGTTACATTATTCGATTTTCACATATATTGTACTTATGAAGGGAAAAATAACAATATTGTTTCTTTTTCACAGATTCGAGAGACACTGGCCAAAATGCAGCTCAGAGTCAAATCATCTTTGACGCCAATGGTATCTTTATACAAGGAGGAATTGTTCTCTATGAGGGATAGTGCATGGACAGAAGACCACTCATTGCCGAAATCACAGTTGTCGCCTTCCCTAAAAAAGAACTCGTAATACGAAATGAAATCTGCTATCGATCGCCATTGACACCATCTGTGAACACATTACGGAGACATCTGCTGTTCTAACACATCCATCTGTCTTTTGTATCTCAACAGCCCAGTCCACGCTCTCCACATGAGGACTCTTTAGAAGTTTTGTGAAAGGTTAGTTTTATGCATATTTATTTGTTATATACATAGCAAATTAGACTCTATATTGTATTAAATAGGTATAAATATGTTCCCGATAAAATTAATGTAAATATTTACACATTATGCCATTTAACTCGTGCGTATGTACGTATGGTTAGTTTTGTATGTGTTAAGTCTAGTCACTATGCTGGCTAGTAATTCTTGTTTTGTATGTATCACTAGTACATGTATGTTATTACAATGTCATTAGTATTTAATTAGTACCAGTACTATATAGAATATGTAGTTTAGTGTATTTACCTCAGTTAACCTAATGTTTGTACCTGAAACTACCGTTAGTTTATCAATATATTTTAAACATTTAGCTTTAAGATAATTACTGTCAGGGATACAAGACAGTTTATTGTCAAATGTTATTCCTAATAACTTGGTCTGATTGGAGTTCTATTTAAAAATAACACTGGATCATGGTGCATTTTACGTTTACTGGAAAATGAATGTCGCACGTTTTGGCTTTAGAAGATTTAAATCCGTTTTCCAGTGACCACTTTTGTTCCGACAAAGTTGTAATTCACGGTCTCACAATTGCATGTATATTTGCACAACTTCATGATGAAATAAAATCACCAACAAATAATGAACCATCGACATTTTCATTCAAACCTTTAGTGAGGCTGTTGTCACTGGCCCAATACTGCCCTGGAGGACCTTCATATATATATATATATATATACCATATGTGTCCTAAATATAATACCATTCGATACGAATCGTATTTTTATGTGAAAGGTTTCTCCCTGCGGGATGTGCTAAATGGCAATAACTCAGTATCTCATCAGACGAATATGGATATTCTACGGTCAGTCCATCAATTCATTATTACATCAAAACGTTTTGATTCATAAAGTTTTGTAGCTTCTCTTATTTTGTATTTGTATCAACTGACCATGAAACAAAACCAAGATAAATTGTTGATATCCATGATTGTTATTATTCAGAGATAACTTCATATAACCACTATACATATGTACAACATTATGCACAAATGTGAACGTTCACATGTATTATGGAGCGGCATTAATATAAGCCATTTAGGCTTGTTTGCCAATCCTTTTCTTTCTTCTTGAATACAATAAAATATGTTTAAACCTTATATATCAAATATATATTTGGATAATGTGGAGCCCACCCGAACTTTAAATTTTCGATCTTCTAAAAGCGTGTGATAAAATCAAGCATACGACCACGAAGACCCAGATCTTTCAAAATGCCATACTTCCATGTTGTGTCATATCTGCCTTTTCTAAATAAAAATGATTGAACGTGCTGTTTATTTGTGAAACCATTGCGTAACAATGACTCCAGTCAAACGACATGATACAAGGATCTCCCCTGATGCCTAAATCCGGACTGAATATCAGTTATCAGATTGCTGGATTTCAGACACCAGGCAGCGTAAGAATGACTCCAGTCTAACTACATGATACAAGGATCTCCGCTGATGCCTAAATCCAGATTGAATATCAGTTATCAGTTTGTCAATTTGCCGTTGACTTAAGATAGAAATTCTTGTAATTTTCCGAATGACTGAATTTGAAATCCAGAATCTTTTCCTGTAGATTTTGATTTATTTGAAATTTTGGATCATAATTGGCAGTTGATGAGGTTTCGCTCATTATTTCTGCCAACTTATTGGCTATGTTCTCTTTGGATGTCAATTTGTTATTGTCAGTTTTTAAGTACTGAAATTTTTATTCTTCTTACCATATTCCACACTTTATTTAGTGAAGTCCGAATAGTCAATACGAGTAGGAGTCAATATGGTTGCCATTTAAGATATGTCTCGGCAATTGTTGTGATGGAAGTTGGTGGACGCAAGCTTGGAAAATTTGGAAGCGTTTGAGCTTATGGTTTGGTCTGTGCTCATTGTCTCAGAAAGGGATAGCGACTTGGCACGTCCTGGCGAAATTGTTGGGAATCTGATTCGCACGTGCACAAAAAATGAGAATCCTCAGACGTTTAGTTTCGGTGATAATTGTAGCTGAAAGTTGACTTAAATGAATTAATTTTAAAGAATTGTCTGTCCTGCTCTGTTTGGGGTGTAGTAATCTGGGCTTTTATATACATTAGTTTCCACTGGTGTACATGCATATGATATTTTTGGAGAGATTCTAACCACTGGTTCTTGATTTATAATTGGAGCACAAATGCCGGAATAATTTACAATGAAAGTAATCATAAATCGAGAGATTACAATAGGGCTCTGACCTTTTAGGCACGGAGCTCTAATATCGAAATTACAGCCGAGATAAATAGTACTGACATGTAGATAAGTACTGATATCAATGCTTGTCCGTATCATTTGTACCTGGCCATGGATTACCCATTGCTAATGAAAGACAATTAACTTCTGACTTCCCTTGTTAGGTCTCCACACTTGTTGTCTTATATATAACTACCTGCTTCCAAGCATTAACAACGCATTATAATCTAATCTTTTAGTGCCAGCAGAAGTTGATCATCAACCTCTTCCTGTCGAGCACAACATGGTGTCTTGCAAGAAGAGCTGTGGTTTCCAGAGGTCGTTGTTCTTGCTGTGTGTTCTACTGCTGATGCTGAACGTGTACCTCTCTGTGTTTGGTAACACTAGAGGCGGAGGTAGAAATCTACGTACCTCGCACAAACTGAGGATGTCTGAAATAAATGATTTGAAAATAGCGCCAGAGGCAGCATCACGCCAGACATCAGTCATCTCCAGTTCTGCAAACGACGTCATTATGAACCTATGTCCTCCAACGCCACCAAACTTAGGTGAGTTAGTATTGTATTTCACAGTATCATGGTGGGATTCACCACAGTGGGTATAGTTGCCACATTTCTTTTTGGCTACCCAGCCATGTTGGAATTTCTGGTAACACGGTGGGTGATGCTGGAACTAAAGCAGCACTCGACAAATGTGTGACACTTCTCATCCCCTACACAGATTATAAACCAATCATTAGTTATTACATTAGAGATCTAAGACAAAAGAAGTTGGATACCCAAACTCACTATCACTTACACCTTCTTAGATTGTCTGTCCAGATTTGAAGAGGTCATTTTGCGACTTACGGTCAAGCATGTTATGCTTGAGATGACGGAAAGGTGTAGGTCACTGTAGAAAGGGTGTGTTTCTAAGCACGAGTTTCTCACGCCTTTTCTAGAGACGATTTGGGGTGGTCTTTAAAAGGGCCATTGAATGGTGTTTCACGATATATTGTTTGTTGTTGTTGTTACAATGTCATCACATCCATGCTAGATCTACAGGCCATGTCCATTATTGTTAAACGTGTGACACAGAATTCAACTAGGCTTTAGATCATCCCGCAAACAACATGTTCACTGCTACTAGTATCAACGCCCTGGCTCCTGTGACGATGTGGGTTTCTTGTCTCAGGTTGCTTCTAAAGCACTCACTGTTTCCAACGCCAAATGACTATGCTCAACCATTCACACCCCTGCTGTCGATGCGGGGCCAAAACACGTGAAAACTATCGACAGCATGGACAACCACGTCTGAGGAATGGGCATGGCTACAGAGTCTGTGAAGAAGCCTTGGGCCCTTACCACCAGTGTTACATTCTTAAAGTTGGTGAATCATTAATGACCACCAACAAAAATTCTCCAGTCATCTAATCCTATTCACCAAGAATATGGATTTCACGAAAAGAAAACTTTTGGAAACCACGTAATCCGCCGCCACAAACCTTTGATCAACAGACCACGGTTACCATCGTCCAACGAAGTGATAATCAAGCTACAGACCTCTTATCAGTTAACATCCTATTAGCCTATATTTTTTTTAAAATTTGTTTCTTTTTACTTTTTTTACGATTTACACTAAATCCATCTACTTCTTAATCGGTTATTGGCTTCATTACCCCTTGTTATTTGTTGATCTTACTCCCAAACTGGGCGTCGTTTATGTACCATCTGCTATTCAATTACGTGCTGTTGTTAATGTTATAGAGATTATTCACCGTGTGTTTTCCGTATCATTAGTATCATATATTAGGTCACAGCTATTAGTTATCCAAAGGAGTAACTTATTCCAAAAAGCCTTCACTTTATAACATGAGTTTAAGTGCAGAACTCATTTTATTTGGTATATAGGAAAATGTAATAACTGATGGGGTTTTTTACTTGATTTTAATTCTTTCGAAGTTTTTTATTCATAAATGTAAATTAAACAAGGTAAACCAATCTCTCAAGAATTTCCGATATGAATAGAAAAATACATATACAATAGAAAAACAAATCTTTACTGATAAATGTGAACAAAATAAATCTTATTAACAGTGGATGTCCTACCTCTCATTGTTTCAAGACTCCAGTTGACTGATTTCAGAATACTGAATCTTCTAGTCTTTTCACTATGAGTCCAGCCATGCTCATTCCTTATGTTATGTTATGATGGTTGGTATATTTACCATATTTCTTGGTCAAGTGTGAATGAAAGTTGCGAAAAGATTATATCTTAACTTTGCTTGATATGCACCTGTGTGTTCACACCATTCATCTGGTTCATTTGTATCGTGTTTATACTGTGTCATTTGGTATGCATGTGTGTGTGACAGTTTCATCTTGTTAAAACGCTGATTCCTTTATCATGTCTTTTTATGAATCCAAGAGGGCAAGGGCAAGGAATTCCCTGGTTCCTTTGTCCCTACCTGTAACAGGGAGTCAGTAATAAAATATCAATTACAAAAACCAAAAACAAAAGAAAACTACCAATTTGCAGGGGAGTAAAATCATATTTTACTTACACGATCCTAGTTATCATTTAATAAACGATGGTGAAGATAAACAATATTAAATAAATAAAAAATATCATATATTAGGAATGCAAAATGTATTAATGCATATTTTTATTCCTAATATAAGATATTAATGTTACGGAAACACACGGGGTTGATAATGTCTTTATCATATAATGCTATTTTTCTTTAAAAAGAAGCGAATCGTACGTGAATTTATATGACTAGAATCGAGGATTCACGTACGACAACTCTGCGGTACACCAAGGTGAAGGTCGTTTACGGCGCAATGAAAAACTCCCTGTAAACTCGTGATGACGTCATCAATGAAATGTTAAAACGTTTTAGGACTCACAAGGCGTGTATGGAGTTTTGTGAAAGTAGTTCGTGTATTGATCTAATTTGCATATTTATCATATTGGAAACCAAGTTCATCAGATTGCTTTATTGCACTGATAAACACCCTCTATAATATGATAAACACACTTCTCAATACTTGTTTGTAGTCACCTTTAGCTTGAAAACGATGTAAGAATCTACACTGAAACCTCGCCCTGTGCAATAAACAAGAAGTTATTATCCATAGGGTTGTATGCTTTATTACTGACATCAGCTTCCACTACAAGCTATTTCCTTTTCTAAACAGATATATCCGTGATGCAGAAGTAGTAGCCGTGACGTGCACAGACTGACATAACGTTTACAAACATTGTAGCTGTGACGTGCACAGGCTGACATAACGCTGACAAACATAGTAGCTGTGACGTGCACAGGCTGACATAACGTTTACAAACATAGTAGCTGTGACGTGCACAGGCTGACATAACGCATACAAACATAGTAGCTGTGACTTGCACAGGCTGACATAACGCTTACAAACATAGTAGCTGTGACGTGCACAGACTGACATAACGTTTACAAACATAGTAGCTGTGACGTGCACAGGCTGACATAACGCTTACAAACATAGTAGCTGTGACGTGCACGCTTACAAACATAGTAGGCTGACATAACACTTACAAACATAGTAGCTATGACGTGCACAGACTGACATAACGTTTACAAACATAGTAGCTGTGACGTGCAGGCTGACATAACGGCGTTTACAAACATAGTAGCTGTGGACATAACAGTAGCTGACATGACACGCTTACAAACATAGTAGCTGTGACGAGCACACAGGCTGACATAACGTTTACAAACATAGTAGCTGTGACGTGCACAGACTGACATAACGTTTTACAAACATAGTAGCTGCTGATGTACACAGGCTGACATAACGCTGACAAACATAGTAGCTGTGACGTGCACAGACTGACATAATGCTTACAACCATTGTGGCTGTGACGTGCACAGGCTGACATAACGCTTACAAACATAGTAGCTGTGACGTGCACAGACTGACATAACGTTTACAAACATAGTAGCTGTGACGTGCACAGACTGACATAACGTTTACAAACATAGTAGCTGTGACGTGCACAGGCTGACATAACGCTTACAAACATAGTAGCTGTGACGTGCACAGGCTGACATAACGCTTACAAACATAGTAGCTGTGACGTGCACAGACTGACATAACGTTTACAAACATTGTAGCTGTGACGTGCACAGGCTTACAAACATAGACATAACGCTTACAAACATAGTAGCTGTGACGTGCACAGGCTGACATAACGTTTACAAACATAGTAGCTGTGACGTGCACAGGCTGACATAACGCTTACAAACATAGTAGCTGCTGCGACTTCCACAGGCTGACATAACGCTTACAAACATAGTAGCTGTGACGTGCACAGGCTGACATAACGCTTTACAAACATAGTAGCTGCGACTTGCACAGGCTGACATAACGCTTACAAACATAGTAGCTGTGACGTGCACAGACTGACATAACGCTTACAAACATAGTAGCTGCGACTTGCACAGGCTGACAAAACGCTTACAAACATAGTAGCTGTGACGTGCACAGACTGACATAACGCTTACAAACATAGTAGCTGTGACTTGCACAGGCTGACATAACGTTTACAAACATAGTAGCTGTGACGTGCACAGGCTGACATAACGCTTACAAACATTGTAGCTGTGACGTGCACAGACTGACATAACGTTTACAAACATAGTAGCTGTGACGTGCACAGACTGACATAACGCTTACAAACATAGTAGCTGTGACGTGCACAGGCTGACATAACGTTTACAAACATAGTAGCTGTGACGTGCACAGGCTGACATAACGCTTACAAACATAGTAGCTGTGACGTGCACAGACTGACATAACGTTTACAAACATAGCTGTGAGCAGACTGACATTTGACGTGCGTGCACAGGCTGACATAACGCTTACAAACATAGTAGCTGTGCCGAGCACAGACTGACATAACGTTTACAAACATAGTAGCTGTGACGTGCACAGACTGACATAACGCTTACAAACATAATAGCGTGTACACTGCTGGATTCTGGTGGCGGACAATTAACGCGCATGCGTATATCCTTGGGGGAGATACCACAAATAGGCTGTATTTATTGTACCCACATGAAGAATCGAACCCGAGTCTTTGTTTCGTCGTGCGAAGACCTCAACCAATAGGCTAACCTTCCACCAGTGATCAGTCTGTTATGCCATGCACATCACCTGACGTTATCCTTACATCTAGGAAACCATTGGTCGCCCTCTAAGGCCCCACATTTCGCTGTGCAGATCACTGAGTTGCAAGAAACCTGTGGTCGAGGGTTCCTAGGAGTGTTTCATCTCCAGGGTTTTATGTCTGTGTTAGAAGTGTTTTAACTGCACAGTGTGCTGACTCAAAACATTCATGTGAGTGTGGTTACCTTGCCTATGATAATATTGAACCTTAACATGTAAAATGGATTTACTGGTTGTTTCAGTTGGTGCGTTGGTTGTCGATATGGAACCTGTATCATTCGAGGAAATCGAAAGGCACCATCCAACCATGACACCTGGTGGCCGATTCCAACCTCTGGATTGTAAGTCCCGTCACCGAGTGGCCATCGTTGTTCCCTACCGCGACCGAGAGCAGCACCTCAAAGTCCTCCTCAACAACCTTCACCCCATTCTGGAACGACAGCAACTAGACTATGCTATTTATGTGGTTGAAATGGTAAGTATGGGAAAGACGAATTTTACTCTGAGAAAGGGAGACCCGAAATATCAGTTACCGTTGTTTGTGAAAATAGGTGCCAAGAGATTGTGATATATGACATCCGTCGTCTCCATTCTTTTGAATTCAGTGTATAAAATCTTACTTTCATCCTGCCTTTAATTTGACCTGGAGTGAAACACCTTAGTGAAAATATTACACTTACATGTCAGATCCGAGCCTCGCACGTGAACAGTATTCAGGTTAGATCACGAACATCGTGTTGGAGGAATACCTAGTACAGTGATTGGCACTCGTGAAGAACAACCTCCATGTGGTGAGTGCTGGGTATCTCTAATAGCTCTTCCCCCGTGTGGACCCGGGGCAGTTTAGGTCCCCAGCATTCCATTGCTGGTCATAAGAGGCGGCCAATTTGTGCAACCTGTTTGCCGTGGGTTGCGCCCCTTTGTCGGTGGGGGACGGGAGTCTGGTGGTTGAGGGCAATAGGAGCCTGTAACCGTATTCATTTTGCCCAACACACCACTTAGACCCTTTCTTCAGCTAGACGGCTGGTAGAATGGGTCCGGTTCTATCAATCGGCTAGACACGCCAGGCCCTGTGCATAGTGAACATTATTGCACATATTTGATACATTATTTGGTCTTGGCTTTCAAATTCTAATTATTGACGACATTAAATTGCCTAGAGTCCTATGCCAGAAGGCGGAGGCTCATGGGCCAATCTGGTGTTGTTGACCTCCGAATAATGTATATCTCCAATTTCTTGTCATGGGAACAACCAGCCTGGCATTAAAATGGTAGATACATAGAGCTATCTGTGTAAACTTCTAAGGAGTATAACACCCCTGTATCCCAGTATCCCAGCACCTTGGATATCCGGTGTTATTTGACACTGTCCTTGTTGACGCTCCATGGTGGGTGGGGAGCAAGGGTGCCGAATCGTTTTCCTTTCATCATGCTACCTCAACAAGCTGGTTCAACAACGCAATGAAAAAGAGACGACTTGATAATCTAGATCGTTCGAATGAAACAAATCCTTCCAACGTTGATTCACGGCCTCGGTTTCTCGAGATTGAAGATGCAGACTCTCTACCGATCAAATTAAACCCGTTCGCCATTCAAAGGCTATTTCCGGAATTTGTGGAGAGGTGGAAAATGTTAACCATCTCCGAAGTGGCTCGCTTCTTGTGGAGTATACACGGAGACAGCAATCTCTCAATCTGTTGTCAGTCAATATTTTTACAAATATTGAGGTTGCTGTGTCTGTGCACAGAACGTTTCACTCTTGTCGTGGTATCATATGAGACAGGGCTCGTTGTCTCTATGATATGTCAGAGGAGGACAGAGCTTCAAAGCTTGAAAATCAGGTGTCACGGCGGTAAAACGCAGAAATGTTCTCTACTGCATGTCAGACTGACTTGACTTAGGTGAAGTCAGCTAAACCTATTTCTTCAACGTCAGCCATGACACCAACTACCCCAGTCACTCGATCTACGTCTGGTTCCCAGACAGATGAAACTGCTCACGGGACGCCATCACAAGAGTCTGTATCAAAACCAGCCAGCAACCAATCTAAAAAGAAGAAAGGAAACCAATTAACAAGAGACAAACCATCTACTGTCACCTTCAGAGGTTCCAACGTATAACGCATTCGGACCTCTAGATATGGAGATTACTCTGTCCTCAGGACAGGCGGAGGAATAGTTCCTCCTCACATTCCCGTGAACGATCGCAGATTGAGCCTCCATGACTCAGTTATCGACTTTAATGTAGTGGAACTGCAAAAGACTGAAAAACAAACGTTAATGAGATGCAATTATTATCAAAGGATTTTAAACTGTCAGCATTATGTCTACAAGAGACATATCTGAAAAATACAGAACACTTTAATCAAAGATAGTATAGTGATTATCTTTCTCCTCATTTTCTCCTCTAGGAGGTAAAGCAGGAGGTACTTCCATTTTGGTACGACAGGGTATAAAACATAGCCATGTCCCTCTTAATACCAATCTTCACACTGACGCTTTTTCGTACCACCCTGCACATTGCACTGACTCTGTGCAGCTTATATATCTCTCCGTCTTCTGATATTCGACTGTCAGATCTTACGAATCTATATAAACAGCTTCCGAAGCCATGTATAATCCTGGGCGATCTGAACGGACACAACCCGCTTTGGGGAAGTGTCCATACTAACAATACAGATAAAATCCTTGAATTCATTTCCGATAATAATTTATGTATTTTCAATGATTCAGACACTTATCTACATCCAGCAACGGGAACACATTCTTGCCTGTATCTATCACTCACCGATTCGGCCTTATATACTCAGCAGCAAAAATGAACGCAAGTACGAATTCAAAATTAGATAGGCACTGTAATCAAATTATTACAGAAATGGACATAATAAGCGGATCAAAAACATTTTTTGTGTACAATATCTTGACACATCAATTAATAACTCAGCACAGTTTCAAGACATTAGGTGAACGTTTGCAGTCCATTCAGACCCTTGACTTCAGTGTCTAGTGTGACCACCACGAGCGGCAATAACTGCAGCTCAGCGTCTATGCATGGAGTGCATCAATCGGTTGATGAAGACCATTGGCACCTGTAACCACGCTCTGAGAAAGGCCTGGCGCAATAAATCGGCCTTGTTCGGCCTTGGTATGACATTATTCAGTCTCCTCTGGGGTGCATTTTATAGGGCTGGTCCTTGTGAACAGCACGTGCAGCATGAGTTGCATGAAAAAATGGAGAACACCGTACCATCTCCGAGATCAGGTTGCGTTTTGAGACCATTTCCTGGGTTCCATTCTGAGTTTGGGAAGTAATAACTGTTCTCAGGTAAAGTTGGAGATGTTGTCAAAAATATACAATGTAAACATTAAATGAGTTTACAGTTATTCGTTTCTGCGAAGGAAAATTCCAAACTGACGTTTCTTTTGCTGCTTAGTACATAATGAATTTGCATGGATGGTCCATGGCGACCTATATGGGAGTGATCACTTCCCCACCATTCTCAGAACAATCAACCCTGGTGATGTAGAAGCAACTGCGCCAGTGCTGACTGGAGGAACTATGTTTCCAAACTAAATTCACGCACACCGATGTCAAAGGTGTGGAACATGATCCAAAGAATAAACGGCAAAAGTTTAAAATCTGCTGTTCACCATCTGAAGGATGGTGATGCTGTATTCACTAATAAACCTGACATAGCAAATTTAATTGGCGAATCTCTTGCGAAACATTCTTCATGATCCAATTATGTCCCAGAGTTTCAAAGGTATCAGAAACAACAGGAGAAGAAAAAAATATTTTAAACTCAGACAATGGTGAAGACTATAACGAATTATTTTCGTTACATGAGCTCCATACCACCCTTGAGTTGATACAGCAACATAATATATATATATACATATTCAACTCTTGAAGCATTTGCCTGAATCATGTTTAAAAATCATTTTAGAATTTCTTGATCAACTATGGACTTCTAGGAATAAGAATAAAACGTTTCATTAAACTAGAAAATATATCTCTTTCATGTCTTCTTTTTTCTCCTCCTTGGCAATTAGTGAGTCCACAAGTTGACCTAATACTAACAATGTTTAAAAGATCCGAAACTAATGAATTACATGTCTTTCAGTGGCATTTAGAAGTTGTACATTGATGTCCAAGATATTTTTAATAACGTCGTGAGAGAAATTAAAAATAAGTTTAATCCATAAAAATACTTTGGACATTAATGAATTACAATATAAACAAGAATTTAATCAACTAAAAAGCAAATATAATACATACAAATCCTTATTTACAGATGGGTCCAAGGATGGTGGCGCAGTGGCTTATGCCACTGTCATTGGATCCAGAACTATATCTTCAAGAATACAGAATAATAGCTCCATTTTTACAGCAGAAGCAACACTTTTATTTTGTTCAGCATATTGTGTAAAATATCAGACATTTTCTCGCCGCGAAAAGCTGTATACTGCTGATGCGGCGTTCAGCAATACTCACTCACTCACTCAGAATTATTACATAATGTTTTAGAAATAGTTTGTATATAGATAAATATTTTATTGTTAGTAGTGTAATGGAGCAGCTGAGATTGTGAGTGGCTGTATCCTCACAGGGGATTGAAGTATTGTAGAATTATTGTCCTCCTGAGAGGGGTACGTAAGCCCCAAAGCAATGAAAGTAATTAATCTTACCAAATGTTTTAAACGTAGTATCTTTGTAATTTTAAATTAAGGCTACATTAAACTACAATCAACATGGCTGAATGGATGATGTAATTCCGTCTAGGGTCCATGCAGGTAGCAAGAGTACTATAAGTCCCCAGGATCCCTAGTATGGTGATCTACCTTCAGTTGCTGACCTATAACCCGTTTATATATGGTATTTTCCTGCATTGTAGTATAATCTTTTAATAGCATGCTAGTTTTGTATGTCTATCTGTGATAACCTAGTTGTTGACTGTCATTTGTTGACAGGTTTTTATAATTTACCTTTAAATATCATTATCTATAGCTTGATTTAGTCACCATATGGCTGAAATACTGCCAATGAGACATAAAATCGTAACTCAATCACTCACTCACTCACCAACAGTGATTCAGGTTAGATCACGAACATCGGGTAGGAGGAATACCTACAGTGATTCAGGTTAGATCACGAACATCGGGTAGGAGGAATACCTACAGTGATTCAGGTTAGATCGCGAACATCGGGTAGGGGGAATACCTTCAGTGATTCAGGTTAGATCACGAACATCAGGTAGGGGGAATACCTACAGTGATACAGGTTACATCACGAACATCTGGTATGTGGAATACCTACAGTGATTCAGGTTACATCACGAACATCGTGTAGGAGGAATACCTACATTGATTCAGGTTACATCACGAACATCGTGTAGGAGGAATACCTACATTGATTCAGGTTAGATCACGAACATCGGGTAGGGGGAATACCTACAGTGATTCGGGTTACATCACAAATATCGGGTGGGGGGAATACCTACCGTGATTCAGGTTACATCACAAATATCGGGTAGGAGGAATACCTACATTGATTCAGGTTACATCACGAACATCGGGTAGGAGGAATACCTACATTCATTCAGGTTAGATCACGAACATCAGGTAGGGGGAATACCTACAGTGATTCAGGTTAGATCACGAACATCGGGTAGGAGGAATACCTACAGTGATTCAGGTTAGATCACGAACATTGGGTAGGAGGAATACCTTCAGTGATTCAGGTTAGATCACGAACATCGGGTAGGAGGAATACCTACATTGATTCAGGTTAGATCACGAACATCGTGTAGGAGGAATACCTACAGTGATTCAGGTTAGATCACGAACATCGGGTAGGAGGAATACCTACAGTGATACAGGTTACATCACGAACATCGGGTAGGGGGAATACCTACAGTGATTCAGGTTACATCACGAATATCGGGTAGGAGGAATACCTACAGTGATTCAGGTTAGATCACGAACATCGGGTAGGAGGAATACCTACAGTGATTCAGATTAGTTCACGAACATCGGGTAGGAGGAATACCTACAGTGATACAGGTTACATCACGAACATCGGGTAGGAGGAATACCTACAGTGATACAGGTTAGATCACGAACATCGGGTAGGGGAATACCTACAGTGATACAGGTTAGATCACGAATATCGGGTAGGGGAATACCTGATTCAGTAATCTCAGGTTACATCACGAATATCGGGTAGGAGGAATACCTACAGTGATTCAGGTTAGATCACGAACATCGGGTAGGAGGAATACCTACAGTGATACAGGTTACATCACGAACATCGGGTAGGAGGAATACCTACAGTGATTCAGGTTAGATCGCGAACATCGGGTAGGAGGAATACCTACAGTGATTCAGGTTAGATCACGAACATCGGGTAGGAGGAATACCTACAGTGATTCAGATTAGTTCGCGAACATCGGGTAGGAGGAATACCTACAGTGATACAGGTTACATCACGAACATCGGGTAGGAGGAATACCTACATTCATTCAGGTTAGATCACGAACATCGGGTAGGAGGAATACCTACAGTGATACAGGTTAGATCACGAACATCGGGTAGGGGAATACCTACAGTGATACAGGTTAGATCACGAACATCGGGTAGGGGAATACCTACAGTAATTCAGGTTACATCACGAACATCGGGTAGGAGGAATACCTACATTGATTCAGGTTAGATCGCGAACATCGGGTAGGGGAATACCTACAGTGATACAGGGAATACATCACGAACATCGGGTGGGGGAATACCTTAGTGATTCAGGTTAGATCGCGAACATTGGGTAGGAGGAATACCTGCAGTGATTCAGGTTAGATCACGAACATCGTGTAGGAGGAATACCTACAGTGATTCAGGTTAGATCACGAACATCGGGTAGGGGAATACCTACAGTGATTCAGGTTAGATCACGAACATCGGGTAGGAGGAATACCTACAGTGATACAGGTTACATCACGAACATCGGGTAGGAGGAATACCTGCAGTGATTCAGGTTAGATCGAGAACATCAGGTAGGAGGAATACCTACAGTGATTCAGGTTAGATCAACAACATTGGGTGGGGAATACCTACAGTGATTCAGGTTAGATCACGAACATCGGGTAGGAGGAATACCTACATTGATTCAGGTTAGATCACGAACATCGGGTAGGAGGAATACCTACAGTGATTCAGGTTAGATCACGAACAT